AAGAAAGGTTTTACCTTTTTAAATGGTTGGGAAAAAACAAAATAAAAGGAACATTTCATGACACATGGAAATTATATGAAATTCAAATTTCGGCATCCATAAATATTAAGTTTCACTGCAACACAGCCACACTTCATTCATTTACGTATGTCAGTGGCTGCTCTTGCACTACAACAGTAGAACTAAGTAGTTGCAATAGCTGCAAAGCCTACTTTCTGGCCATTTGCAGAAAAAGTTTGCAGACCTTTAATATATCTTTACTCTCCACCTCTGCCTCTCTCTCTGGTCCGCCAAGTCATCATGATCTCGACCAGATGACCCCAAAAGCCTCTTTACCAGTCTCCCCACTTTCGTTTCCCCACCCAGTTCTATACTCCAACCCATACTCTACACAGCAGCCAGAACAACTGCTATAAAAACAAATTGTGTCACGTCATCACTTTCAATATTTAATCCCAGGACTGTTCCTTTTACTTGCCAGCTCCTCCGTGGCCTACAGAGCCCTATCTGGTCTGGCTCTGCTCACCTTCCCAGACTCACCTCACCACAGGGGGCCTCTTCCAGTTCCTACAACATGGGATCTTCTTCCCTACCTCTCAGGGTGTTTGCAAACACGGTTCCTTCTTCCTGGATGAATGGGTGACACCTCTTTATCCTGAGAATCATCTTGGCAGAAAAGCTGGGTCAGAGGGTCAGCCACTCTAAGAAAGTTCCTGTTATTCACTGCACAGTTCATTTTCCGCATGCCATACTGGAACCTCCCTGAGCAGGAACCACGTCTGCTTTGTTTACTATTGTATCCTAATTCTAGCAAGGGCTTGGCACACGATGAGTGCTCAATGCTTGTTCGATGAATGAATGAATGAATGCAGGCATGCATGTGTGTTTAGGTAGAGAGACAGACAGATGCATGTTTGTATATGGGAAAGGGTCTGGAAGTGAAACCAACTCTGGGAGGTGGGAATGAGGCTAAGAGTCTATTTCCATTTCCTAGTTGATACACTTCTGTAACTTTGACAATGAACATGTAACTCTTTTGCAATTAACAAAAGAAAAAAGAAAACCAGCAACATCAAAGATTCACCTGGATTTTAGACCAGGCTCCATCTCTCACTTGGTAGGCTCCCTGGAACAAACCCATTGTCTCTCTGGGTCTTCATCTCCCCAACCCTCAAAGGAAGGTCCTGGCCACCATCACCGGCTGGGCTAGTATAGTCACAAGAGGCTTCATGGAAGAAGTGAGCCCTGGTGTTTCAGAAGATGACTTTAGAGTTGGAGATAAAGGTTCAAAGCCACACTCTGCCACTTCCTAGTCATGCCACTTTGGGAAAACATCCTCTCTGAGTCTCAGTTTGCTCATTTGTAAAATAGGGATTATAAACTCTATCCTCATAGGATGCTTATAGGAGTCAACTGAGCAAAATTATCTAAACTGACCTACTTAGTATAGGTTCTCTATAAATGGGTGAGGGCCTGGAGAGAGAGGAAGGGGTCTCCAGAGTTCCCCGAGAACAGCTCCCTGTTGACCTTCCCTTTTCCTGATAATCTGAGTCATTTTGGGCCTTTTGTGTTCAAGGCTGTCCACTGGGCACTGCTCCCCAGCCCCGTGATCCCACCCAAGAGAAGAAATCAATTCCTCCTCTCAAAGCGATTTCTGTGTGAGTCAGGACAGCATTGTGTCATCAGGGCCAGCCCAGCAGAGCGGGGCCAAGGTTTTCTTGGCATGCTTTGCCTGCTTCCCTCATGGTTTTAGGAAGAACAAGGAAGAGAGGAAAACAGGATAGAGCAGAGCCCCCGGCCTTCCTGCGCCACCCCGTCCCACCACGGCAGCCTCATCACACTGAAGTTGGGGCCTCAGAACCAGAGGAGGCAAACCAGAGAGCACCCAGCCATCTCTGTGGGTCTGCAAGCAAGACTTCTGCTGTAGCAGCTGGCCTGACTTTCGCCCCTCCTCTGGCTAGGGCGCCGCCCCAATGTGTGTTTGCATCTACTAGGGCTCAACGGCCATTTGACAAGGCAGCGTGACACCGTCTTGGAACTGGAAGCGTGTCCAGAGGCTATACACACACATGGGTGCACACACGTGTGTACAAACACACGCACATACACACACATATCATCAGTAGCACAGAACCCTGAAAAAAGTGAAAGCTACATTGAGCTCAAAAGAGCTCTGGCCAAAAGAAAGGATGTGAACGAGGAGAGTGGAGAGAGGAAGGGAAGGGATGAGAGATCATAAGACCCAATCAGGGGGTGGAGCCCGGGTCAAACCCTGGCAGGCCAGCACACACATCTGCATTCACTCAATCTCTGTTGAGTCCTGCTAGGTGCCCATCTTAATATGTCTGGAAATCCCACCCCTTCCAGAAGCCTTTCCAGACTTTACTCTCCGGATGTGTTCTGCCTGAACACCTCACTGCCTCCAAATTCCTTAGGTTTCTACCCCGAAAGAGGTTCATCCTAGCAGAACAACTCTGTGGACCACTCTCCATCTAAGCACCAGCCGGTCTAGCTCTCCGGGAATTCGCCCTGAGGAGTTAGCAGGCTCCAGGAGTCCTCAGAGCATGAAGGCCTCTTGGAGTTCACCTGGTCCAGTGCCTAACTCCATGCCCATTGTACAGATTAAGAGGGTGCAGGCCACCCAAGGGCCCATGCTCAGTTACCAGTTGCCATCAGAGGTGACTAAGAGCCAGCTCACACGTGCCCCTAGGGCCTGAATTCCTCCCCAGTCAGAAGGAATTATCAGGCTGCCTTGCCTGCCCCAGGGAAGAGCTTAAGCTCAGGAGCAGGCAACCCTGGGTTCAACTTCTGACTCAGAAGCCTTGCCAGGCACATGATCAAGTATAAATGATCTAACCTCTTTGAGAGTCAATTCCACATCTCTAAAACGGGGATGACAATCCCTACCCCACAGGGCTGCTGTGAGAATAAAATAAGATGATACACAAGGAGGACTTAGGAAAGCAACTAGCACCCAGTCATTACTACTTTTGTTATTATTGCCATGGGCACAGGCATAGGCCTCCTGGGCCTCTGCCCAGAGCCCCCTTCTCCGTCTCCCCCAACCCCACTCTCCCCAGACAAGACCTCCTCTGTCAGGCTATATGTCTAGGTCCCTGGCACCATTGCTCCTTCTATGACCCCATTTCCACATAGAACCCCACCAGCACCCCAGCTCCAAAGCAGCAAACGCACAATTCAGCTCCATCTCTGTGTCTGGCTTATCCCTAGTGTTCCTCTGCTCCTTGCTCCTCCCAGAAGCCAGGACACAGCCATCTAGCAATGGGCTCAAGCCCTTACTGCCCCTGCTGCTGCCACAGTCCCCTGGTACAGGGCCTCCCCTACAAGCACCCATTCCAGTGTCTCTCCCAGGGGACTCCCAAGTCCTGGGAGCCTATGTTGACTTTAGGGTGGCCTGGGAGCCCTGCCTCCCAGAGGTAGTATCTCTCCCTGCTCCAAGGCTCCCAACAAAATATCCTTGTCATTCCCCACTCCCAGTAGGTTTTCCTGCAACATACTCTCCCTAGGCCTCGGAAATGTCAAATGCCCAAAGGCAGTAAGGGTGTGAAGGAGGCATCCCTTCTCTGGACCAGAGGAGAAGGAGGGAGAATGGGGGCAACTGGCTGGGAGCACTGGGCAGAACTGGAGGGTGTACAAAGGACTCCTGGAGGCACAAGTGTGCTGAGGACCAGGCCTCTGGATGAGTAAGAACTCTCAGCAATGGTCCCAACTGGGCTGCAAGGACAACTGTTCAGGCCTGGCCTCTCCCCAGCTCCCCAGATGAGTCCTCTCTGCCTCATTGTGGGGACGCTTAGCACATCTTGCCAGGCTCCAAAAAGAGGGGTGAAGCCTGTGCCTGCCTCCAGAGTGGCAGAAAGAGCCAGTTCTGGAGGCAGAGAGCATCTCAGCTTCAGCATTTGCCAGCTGTGTGTCTTTGGGCATGTGACTTACCCTTTCTGGGCCTCGGTTTCCCATCTACACAATGGAGCTAAGGCTACCCTCCCTCACAGGACTGCTATAAAGATTAAATGAGGTGGTATCTATTAAGCATCCAGCACAGCCCCACCCCTAAAACCAGAAAACCCAATGTTCCTGTCTGAAACCTCACATTGCAGGGGTGGCAGAACCGGGGGTGGCAGGTGCAGGTTACATAATAGCACATGTGTCCCTCTCCCAGAAGTTTGATCCATTCTGAGCCAATGAGACCGAAGCAAACTCCTCAAGGATTCCATGGACCAGTTCTCACCCTCTGTCCCCTCCCCCAGGCCCTGGCTACGCCTTCCCTCTTTTGCTGGTAGACGTCCTGATCGCTCCCGCTCCGGGGGTGTGGCAAAAGGACAGCAGTGAGAAAGGGCCATGCACTCAGAGGATAAGCTCATGGGCAGTGACATCATCCTGCCTGCCCTACTTCCTCCTCCCCTGACCCCATGACTCAGGGCCACAGGCTTAGGCCCTAGGTGGTCATAGTCTGCAAGGGTGCTTGGATTTGGGTAATTTTTCTTCACACAGCCCAAAACCCACAAGTTCAACCAAGAAGCAGCCAGTGACAGGCCAGACACTTCTTCTATAACACTTTCTAGGAGTCTCTGGACACTGTGGGATCCCAGCTCTATGATCACCTCGCATCTCTGACTCCAAACAGTATTGCCCAACTCGGTATCCAACCCAAATACAGCTCCACGGAACGAAGATTTACGACTCCAGAGAAGGTTACAGTTTAAAGATGGAGGAATTCCCACAGGAAGATTCAGAAGTCAACCTCCCCAGAATAAGGACACAGCCTCCTCAGAAGGGAAAACACTTCTATAACTGTCCTTGCCACAAAGATTCAAGCACCAAACCCGGCTGTCAGGCATCTGAGCATCTCAGACATTCAGCCAACCTGCTTCCATTGGGCGCCCGGACAGAGCTGCACAGGGCCATGGGCAGGAAAGAAAAGCAGTCCCCAAATCCCAGCATCCCGTCCCCTCCTCAGGCTGCCACTAACACAGGCTTCTCACCTTCCACACGCTGGATGGTCTGATTTCTTGGAGCACAGGAGTCTGGAGTACCTTGGAAAGTTCACTGCAGGCAGGCAGGAGAAACCACCAGCGATGTCATGAAAGACAGAGAAGAACTCCAGAGATCAGTCACGGGACCAAAAGTAGCATCGCCGAAACCACTTAGTGCAAAGCTCACTCCCTCACGAGTCCCTCTGCCATAGACCCCTTAGTGCAAAACCGGGTGCTCACAGTGCTGACCTGACGTCATGAAGGAAAGTGTCACTGACATTAGGAGTCCTGATGTCAAACGGTCATGTATGTAATACGAGGGAGAAAGATGTCTATGTTTTACAGTTAATGGAAGTGTTAGTGCTTAAGCTCAGGAACTCCAGATATCAGGGAAGTGTACTTACCCAAAATATTCCCATTGCCAGATGAGCTGGAAATACCAGCCACGGCTCATGCCCCAGAGCTCTCCACCCTCCCTGCCACTCAGATAGGCCAGCCCATCGGACATGTCGAGACTGCGATTTCAAGTTTAGACTTCAATTTCCCTCAGCCTCCAAAAGCTTCCCACCTATGTGGAGGCCCCCAAACTACACGGAAGGCTGCACAGCATCAGATTTCCTAGGGATTTCTGGAAGGCCTGTGGGAATTAGAGGTGGCTGAACTAAATAAAGAACTGTTAAAGACAGAACAGCTTCATTATTTTCTAATGTAGAAGCTAACTGCTAAAGACATGCTTAGAAGAAAAAGACCAGGGGCCTTAACTTAATGATGAAATCAGACTCATTTACAATTATCCACATCCCATTTGAAGGTAAATAGTTTTCCTCCATTAAGCCAAACAAACCCTTCCTCTCCCTCCAATCTTTTTTGCTTTGCTGTTTGCTTAACGTTTTCCCTGAATGATAGATCCCGTATCTGAGTCATCCATCACGCATTTCTCATTAGGGCAGGTTTGGCTTAGAAATAAATCCCCTTTCCTGACAGTTCACTGCCTTAGGCCCCCAAACCTGCCAATTCACTAGCAAAACAGCAATGGAGGGCCTTGGGACACTGAGATTCAATCCCCTCTCCTCTAGTGTGTCCCCTCTGAGTCCCCACCTTCCCTCCACCCTGTTCCCCATCTCCTCTCCATCCTACCCCCCTACCATTTCCCTGAGACTTCCCAAGCCCAAACCGCCCCGTCCCTGCTACCCCGTGCTCCCTGGCCTCCATCTGCCTTCCCACCCCCGACATCTATTCACCCCTTCCCCCAGGCCCGCTGTTCCTACCTGTCCTCGGAATCTGTCCCCCTCATGCCCACTGCTGCCTGTGGAAGTCCTCCAGTCGTCCACTGCTTCATCGTTCAGGGCCAAGCAGAGTGGACCCTCCCCTACCTAACCACTCATTCTCCCCTCCCCGGCAGCTCCCCCTCCTCAGAACTGATGGTCAGGTCAGGGTCCTGGAGACTCTGCTTCGCTCCTAGCTCCAGCTAGCGGCTTCGTTAAGCTTTCCAGAATCATCAACACAGCGACAGATCTGCCTCCTTTCCCCCTGCACACCCAGGGCCTCTGTGGTCACAACTACCCACTCAGCCCCCTCCACGGCTGCCCGGGTGCGGGCAGGTCCCCCAACGTCCGGCGCCCCCTCCGCCGAGGGACGGGGAGGCGAGGTTGGGAGCGGGCTGCATTCTGGCAGCCCCCAGCAGCCTCTGGGCCCTAGAGCCGGCGTTCACCGGGCTCCGCTCGTGGAGGCCAGCCCCGGCCCTGGGGAGACGGCTGGGACGCGGTGCCCTGCGAAGGAGGGGCCCCACGGCCCGCCCTAGACCCCTGCAGCAGGCACGCCGCCCGGCGGCCCCGCCAGGCTCGGCCGCAGACAAAGGCCGCCCGCGCCACGCAAGCACTCACCGCGCCGCGCCGACTCCCGGGGCTCGCGGGCGCGGCGGAGCTGCCGAGCCGCCGCGAGGCCGGGCCCAACTGCGGGCCGGGGGCGGCCCGGGAGTCCGAGGGGCGGGGCGGGCTGGAGGAAGCCGCGGGCCGGGAAAGGCGGCCCGGGAGCGCCCAAAGGCCCGATTGGCCCCGCGGCGGCGGTTTGGGGCAAAGGCCTGAGCCCGCCCGCTGGGCAGGGCGTCGGGCTAGAGCCCGCCCCCGACCCCGGTCCGGCCCCGCGTCGGGAAGCCCGGGCGCTTCCGGAGGGGGCGCTGGTCTAATCGCTACCCATCCCCCACCCCGTTCCCACACTCCCAAGACCCGAAGTTTATTTTCTGCGAGCGGGACAGGTGACTGGTCGCTGACCACCCCACCCTCCAGGCCGCTGGCGGCAGAGCCGGAGCTGGATCCAGCTGTTCCACCCAGTCCTGTGTTCTCTCCCGGCACCAGGCTCGTACAGCGGTCTGGAAAGGGTTAACTCCACTGCACGGAATTAAGAGCTGCAGGGAGCTCTCTATAAATACAGTGTCGTGGGCGCCTGAGCGAACCGCAGGGTAATTTCCACTGAGCTGGTTTTCCTCTTTTCCTTCCACCCACGGCCACCCGGCCAGCCCTGCTCCCAGCCCCATGCCAGGCTGCTGGCCAGACCAGGCTCTAAAAGCGGGAGCACCTCTGACCCCCGTGGCCCGGGGCTCTGTCCTTAGAGGACCCAGCTCCAGCCTGGGAGGAGATGGGGGTCAGGCCTTTGCCTTGGCGTATCTGGCCCCTGCAACTGTTCTCTGGCCTGTTCTTCATCAGTTACAGACAGTCACAGCTAAAGCGTAGCAGGATTCTATGAACCAGGGTCTAGACTAGGGGCTTTCCGTGCTGGGCCTCTTTAGATCCTGGCAACAGCCCCACCAGGTAGATAATATTATCCCAACGTTACAGATGAGAAAAACCAAGGCTCAGAGGGATGAAGGGACTCCAGCCTTGTGCATCTGCCAGGCCCACCACCAAGTGGCAGCAGCAGTGTGGAAGAGGGCTTAGGAAATAGGCATGAATGCATGTGTGTCTCTGCACACATCAGCCACTGTTTTAAGCTCTTTACCATGGTATCTCATTTAATCTTCACAAGTGAGTGAGGTGAAAGCCCTGTTATCTTTATTTTTACAAATAAGGAAATTAAGACACGAAGAGAGTGAGTAACTTACCTGAGGATATAAAACTATTGAGTGGAGGAACGAGGATCTGTTCCCTTGAATTTAAGTGCTGAACTCAAACCTGTCTATGTGGTGTGTGTGTGTACATGTGTGTGTGGCAGTGGTGTGTGTGTACATGTGTGTGTGGCAGTGGTGTGTGCGTGTACGTGTGTGTGTGGCAGTGGTGTATGGTATGTGTATTTGTGAACCCATGTGAGCAGCTCTATATTTGAGTCTATATGGACATGTGTTTCTGGATATGTTTGATAGCAGCTGTGTCTGTGTGACTGCTCCCAGGGATGGGGGCAGAGAGTGAGGGATCAAGGCCAGGCTATCTGGCCCATAGTCCCTGGAGGTCATCAGCCTCCCCACCAATCCACACTGCTCCCAGTTCCCTGTCAGGCCCTGTCCAGCCGGGGCCTCTCCTCACAGGTCTCAGGATGAGTTGCCCCCACTAGGCCCCACAACCTGTGGGAGAAGCATTCCAGGGAGAGGTGTCCCTAGGGTGAGAGAACAGGACCCTGGAGGTGGCATGGGAACTAATCTAAGGAATTTACTTTCCTTCCCTTCACCAAGTCAGCCTTGTGCTTTGTGCCCTGTGACGTGACACAGGTCCTGTCCCAGAGGATTTATAGTCTGGCAGGGAAGGCCATCTGGACATGATGGATGGTGAAGGAGCAGCACAGGGCTGTTTATGAGGGGTGGGAGGAGACTTTTATCATAATCGTTCAAGAAAACAGGTCAGGAGGGAAGGAAATGAATATCAGCTCTCATTCCTGGAAGCAGTGGCTTGAGAGGGCACTGATCCCCCAGAAAAGCAAACAGCTGGAGCAGGTGATAGACAGCATGTCTGCAGGACAGGCTAAGCTGAGACTGGAACATCTGGCCCCAGACACAAACAGCTGGAGTGACCATCACAGTACACAGGAATCTCCTCAGTTTAGAGAATATTTGCTCTATTCCAAGTTGAAAATACATCTTTCTCAGACTCCCTTGCAGCTAGAAGTGGTCACATGACCCAACGTGGCCCATGAGATGGAAGTGAAACTCATTGGTTTGGGCTTTGGGAAAATCTTGTTGAAGGAGCAGGCTTATGCTGTGGAAAACAGCATGGTGCTTCCTCAAAAAATTAAAAATAGAATTACTGTAGGATCCAACAATCCCACTTCTGGGTATATACCCAAAAGAATTGAAAGCAGGGTGTCAATATGTACACCTATGTACACAGAGATATTTGTACACCTATGTCCATAGCAACATTCTTCACGATAGCCAAAAGGTGGAAGCAACCCAGTGTCCGTCAATGGATGAATGGATAAACGAAATGTGGTAGACACATACAACGGAATATTATTCAGCCATAAAAAGGAAGGAAATTCTGACACATGCTCCAACCTGGATGAACCTTAAGGACATTATGCTAAGCGATCTAAGCCAGTCACAAAAAGACAAATACTGTATGATTCTACTTATATGAGGTAGCTACAGTGGTCAAATTTATAGAGACAGAAAGTAGAATTGTGGTTGCCAGTGACTGGGGGAAGGAGAATGGAGAATTGTTTAATGGGTACAGAGTTTCAGTTTTGCAAGATGAAGAGTTCTAGAGATTGGGTGCATGACAATGTGAACGTACTTAACAGTAGTGAACTGTATACTTAAAAATAGTTAAGAAGATAAATTTCATGTTATATATATTTTACCACAAATAAAAATTAAAATAAAAATAAGGAGCAGGCTTAGCTAGCATGTGCCTTTGCTTTTTGCCTTTCACTCTCCTTTTTCTTCGTGCCTGAAGTGCAGACACAAAACCAGACCTAAAGCAGCCATCTTGCAACCACGATGACACCTCCCACCTCCCCCCTGCATTGCTCCTGGCCCTTGGCCTTGCCCCTAGTTGCCTTTGCTCCTCAGGACTGATAAGGGAGGAATGAGGACCCTCAATTGTCTTGTCCTCCCCAGGCTATCTGTAAGGATCATCAGACCACCATTCTGGCAAAGGGAGAGGGTGTTGTGACCCTCGTAGTACTTTCCCCAGGACAGAAATTCTGAGTTCATGGTGAAATTCAGAGACAACTTCCTTTTGCCTCTTTTGACATACAAAAGGACAAGCATCTCCCTCATCTATCTGAACACACTTAAATCAAGTAAACTGGATTCCTTATCCTAGCTTTAAAGTGGGGGCTGTACAGATGTTTTTTGGCTCCTTACAGCAGCTAAGCAGCCCATCATTCAGAAAACAGCTCAGAGACATTGGCATGCCTTGCCTGAGAATGATACTCAAAATCTATTCATTTCCATAAGAAAGAAAAATCAATTGTTGGCAGCACTAGGGGGTTAAGGCCCCATTTGGGCATTTTTTCAAGGATCCCTATGGCATTTACCAACATCTTGGCATGGGCTTCCCTCCACTCAGGCTGGTTGCTTCACATTGCCTCCTGAGTTGTTTGCATTTTCAGGCCCCAGGTCCTCGACATCTTGTCAAAGTCCGCCTCCCCCACCCCACCTGTCCACTCACTTAGGGCTCACAGGGTTGCAGTCTGGAGCCAGCCAGCCAGCCCAGACTGTCTCAGGCAACCGTATTTCCCCTAAAGGACTGGATCCAGTGTAGGGTTGAATAGGGTGCATAGCAACCATCGCAGGTTCCTGCTTTCTTGTTTCTTATTCCTGGCACTTGAGTGTTGGAGTGGACTTCAGGTGTCTAGATCTAAGTACTTCCAGCTGGAAGCATCTGGCGGGCAAAATAACAGGAACAGGCTGAAAAAGAGAAGAACTGATCCTCCAAGGGCGATCATCCGGGAACACCTCACCCCTCTACCCCGACACACACACACACACACACACACACTACAAAATAACAAAATATCTCCTAACCAGGCTTGTATAACTAGCTAGAACCCACTATCCCTTCTTCTTCTACGATTACCCTCTAGATTATCTGTCCTCCTTCCCGACCCTGGTGGAACCATTGAGCCCCCTCCGCCTTTCCTCTTCTCTCTCTATAGCCCAGGCTTACAGCACTCCCAATACCAGGAATCTGTCTCAGAGTGTCCAGCGTGCTGGAGGGTTGGGACTTAGTTAAAAAACAAAACAACAAAATAAAAACAGCACCATAGTGCCAGGGAAACTCTTCCATCACATTGGGAGTTGTTTTTTTTCTAATGACTTCTAATTGTGTGCAAATAGTCGAGTTATTAGCACTTGTACGATGCTGAGAGTGAGTGCCTCCTTCAGTTTTGCGTCGTAGGCACCTCATTTTCCTCACCCAAGCCCTGGCCCTGCTCTTAGGTTCGGCCTAGGACAGCCTCATAGAAGAGAGCACAGAATAGAACAACTAAGAGTTCCCCCTGCAAGAATAAGATCAAGCGCCACTGGCTGGGAGAACAAGGGCCCGGCTTCAGAAGTTGGCAGTGGAGATCCCCGTAAGGAAGACAGTGGATAAATCACTTGACATCCAGAAATCCTAATCTCAATCCAGGCGCTCAGTCTTAGTACTAATACTACTGTTTTTGATCACAGGGTCTGCTTATGGTCATTTGTTTTCAGTCGGGCTGGGACACTGTGCCTGGGCATCTGCAGGGCATCTTACCATAGTCCCAGCCCTGGTATGGACACAAGGGAAGACTTAACTGCCCCAATGG